TGCTACACAAATCAATCGTTGTTCCACAGAAAGCTTATCTCATACTGTTGTTTGATCACAATCCACAACAATGCCATGTGTTAGAAAATATGCACACAATCCACCAAATTAATTATTCACTTGTTCATATATGTAAATGGGCTTTCAGCTACCCTTATCGAATACTTCTGTTTGGTTTTGCTTGTTGTTCCACACTTTCTGATTATTGAATAAGTGCATATTTCGGCACTCATAGCTGTCTTGACATGTTTCATTTCATCTGACGGTGTATTTGGTTTGCCAACTGGGATTATACTATCGTCTTCTGAAGCTTGTATCGATTTATTCAATTCCGCCTCCAGTACTGTTCAATTTTACTTAGATTGAAGTACATTGAAGCATCAACTGTGGCCGGAAAACGTGGAGCCGGTCAAGGATGAAGTAGAATAAATACAGGAGAAGATTAGCGCATAAATAATCTCAAAGGTTGTGATAGTTGAATAAAAATTGATAGCGTTTCCAGCCTTCGACCACACTTCATATTTAGTGCTTGCTGATTCATAAATGTTTCCACTCTTCTCCAAAAGTGCATATAAATATGTGTACTTCGGGACAGCGTAAATCACTTCAACTCTGTACTTGATCTGCTTACTTCATCTGCCCAGGAAGATATAACTGCAGTCCTTTTGTTGCCCACTATATTGGGTTGATGTTAGACAATCGAATTTTAAACCCAAACACCTAGAATTATGTGCAGTTATTCTGCTTATGGGCTACCATAACACGTGTTAAATTGGTTCTTATGCAACACAAAGATTTTCCCGTCACTGTCATCATCTTTGAAATTCTAATGTAGTTTAACGCTACTTAGCAGAACCAGTTGCTATTTCATCAGAAGCGGATATTCATTTATTCCTATGACTGAGTGTATACGAGTGTCATAATTTTTGCATATTTTTTTTAATATTTTACAGCTTTGCTCGTCCTGGAGGCGGTGAAGGTGCCGGAGTTGCACTATCCATCTACATTGCTTTGGGCTTGGCAGTCGGCGTTGCCGTCTCGGCTGGTCTGGCCCAGGCCATTTAATCGAAGAAAACACGAGATGTAAATAGAAAAGTGAATAGCGCCATCATAATAATTGTTCTTCATCCTTCTCTCCCTCTCTCCCTAATCAATCCTACAATCCATTTTTTGCTTTTGGTAAAAGGATATAGACACAATCAACATGCGTACAAATCTTTTTAGTTCCACCCCCTTAATATATTTGGAAAAGTTTGTACTCTGAATAAAGATAAACATGATTTTCCACCATACTGAAGGGTGGTATTTTTATCGGCAAAATGGGAAAAAAGAACAAAGCAAACAAGCGCAGTTCCGTTTATGGTTTAGCTAATTTAGTCAAAAGGCGTACAGAAAGGAAATTTCTACGGATATGGCTAGTTTCCAGCGTGATAGTATGGTTAACTATATTGTACCTTATAAAACACTCATTCTGCATTTAATACTTCTATTTTTGATATCTACGGTCCGCTGGATACAACAAAATCCTTTTAAACAGCGGTTTCTCATGCTCAATTAAAAAAATTGCGAAGCCGTCCAAAATCTTCTTTGTTGTGTCCGTATCTTTGTAAGGGACCGCTTGGTATGGATGTATTGGGAACGTCCCTCAAGGCAGTGCTCGAAATCAGGCGTATTGAGTGTTTCACATGATTCCAAGGCATGTGAGGGGAATGAAATCAGTCAAATACAAAGCAGTTTTAAACGAAAGTAAGCATCAAGTGAGCTTCACAAACAATAGTTCAATTTCTTATCATATTACCAATGAGCACCAACGATGAAAGCTAGATAAACTGTTTAGGCCTTTTGTCGTTCTTTGCTTCAAGTACCAGGGTCGGGCTGTCAGTTCTTATAACCAAATAGTCGATACTCGTGACTCACTAACACCATACATCACAACAGGGTGCGGGATAAAGACCTTCCTAGAGTTGATATATCAGGTCAGGTATACGACTCCTTACGACGGGAAATCAGTGCTCATCAGCTAAATAGGTGCTACCTACTTGTTTATTGTCCAGGAAACTGAAACGTACAGTTCCCTGTCTGGTGCTATCTTGCAGCTTCGTATCATCTCAACTATGCTATCTCAAAAGAGCCTCGTCAATATGACTTGCTTTGTTCGAGGAGTATTCTTTTCTGGCAGTGTGTCTGGGGCATACGACGGTTGATTTTAGACCTGCTTTATTATTCATGGATCGACGCCTAGTCTTCATGACACTCATCAGGAGTGTTCACATCCGTATTGCATATGTTCTGAAATGAAGTTGGGTTGAGTGGGGCCCGTTAATTGTGAGGTACTTAGTCTCAAACATGGCCTCCCTGAACCTTTTCCCATCAAGCCCAAACCCGCAATTCTTTAGTCCTTAAGATTCGACGCACAAATTTTAGTCATACCGCTGCAGATGAGTCAGATCAAAAAGTGTTGGTATATTCTGAGGTCACCGAATTTTCTACAAATGTTGATGTTGCATTGTTTGAGTAGGAAACGAGGCGTGGCAGTCGTACGCTACTAAGTTGACCCTCACAGTGGTATCAAATTTCGCACCACATTGATTGGAGAAGATTTCAACGATACGCCCGTATCGTCAAACCATTTGGCACATCTTGTATGACTTAAGCGTTTTCAGTGAATTATTTTGTGCTAAATAATAAGAGAATGAAACTATTAAAAACGCTTACCTGTGTGAATTTAAAAAGGGACTGCATGGTGGAACAAATCGAATTTGGTAGTCGGCATTTAACTGCGCATTCCCATTATGTGTTGATTGGTCGCTTCCTCCTTCCTGAAAACTGCATCTTTGTATATTCAATAAAAAGAAGTAAAGATGAAAAGAAAAAAGCTCTCCGATGAACAGGTGGATGGTCAATGATTAAAACAACTCGAACATCTGGTTGCTCAGTAGTGATTAACGTGGAGCAGTTTGATGAAACATGCCAAGTAATATATGTATGACATTTGTTCATTCACTTTAAGCGGAGATACGGAACATTATGCATTTACTTTGTTGTGGTATCACCTTTTGAATTATTTCAAGACTTATGAATACAAAACAATGTACCATTTGTGTTATATTTGATATTTTTACTCAGGATTATCACATTTTATGCAGAAAGATTGAAACTGTCCTAGATATGTCAACTATCTCCAAGCAACATGTGGTGCAGCATGCGATCGCCACACCTCATGTCTTTAACCAAGCTTTTCTACATCAACATTTGTTGACCTCAGATTATTCCAATCCTTTTTGATCTGACTCGTCTGCAGCGGTATGACTAAAGTTTGTACATCGAATCTAAAGGACTACGAGTTGTGGCTAACGCATTGCTGGTTGTGACTATAGCTTGATGGGAAAAGGTGTAGTCTGCCGCGTGATGACACATTATTTTTCCTGAATTACATCTTATTGCAGGGGTCCCCTCTAAAATGAGATTGATGGCTTCATAATTTAAATAGTTTGGCGGTTGAACGCCGGATTGTTATATCACGTTCATAGTTCACAACATACGCAGAGTAATACAGTTTCAATGTCTTGTCTTTTTTTACTTCCTTTCTTATTTATTGAATATACAAATGTACAGTCAACATTCAGGAAGGGTGCTGCAGCCATACAAAGGCTGCCTGGGAAAATACAGAGCTGGCGTTTGTGCAAGATCACAGTGATATTATTTGCGTATATGCCCCTTTGTTAAAAGCGTTTCATCTAATGTGTAGGCTGAATCACACCAGGCATTTCACATCATGGATCATCCATTCTACTGTTCTCAGTCGATTGTTCAATGTACTTTTCCTGACTCCTTGATTCATGCTGTCAGTGACATTGATTACCCCCACTCCGTGCCATGCATAATTCTCATGCTTCATGACCTTCCGATTCGCTTTGAACGTTTGCTCGCATCATGAGTCACAAATGGCTTTGAACTTCATTCACCCACGCCATGAACCGTTTTAGTGCATCACGCCGTCCTCACTAGCATAGACCGCTACGCCCCCCAAGGATATGCACTTTATTTGTAACGAGCAGTTTCATATCCCCTTAATCTTTAGACTTAATGACACGGCAACCGGCTCCGCGTTGGCTAGGCCGCTTTGTTTATCGCTCTGCATTCTTCTCTTCGCCCCGCGAGACTGAGCCAAACTGAGCAAGTGGTCATTTGCCACCGGGTTTGTGATTGGTTATCTCTGTTTCTCAAACAGCAATACTTCGTTGCATTCTGTTTGATAACTATCGCACTTCACCTGGGAAAGGAATGTCCCACAATTATAGGGATATTATTCGTTCCCATAATGTACGTAGATTACGGAATCCTCGTTATAGTGAACTGAAATTCGGGTTCGTATTTGCTAGTGATTCCATCACTGGATAGCCGCCCACACCCTTCTTTCAGCCTGCATAGTATTTTGGAATCGGCGTGCAGAAAGTAAACAATAGGCATCACAGCATACACTACTTAAGGGATTACGAGGTGGATGGTGGGGTTTTTCACCGCTGGAGGAACTGACTTCTGACCACACATGTGGAATAGGGTCCCAGAAGCACTTGCTATCGCTTGCATCGTGTCACCGTGTTTCTCAAATGTTTTGTGTGCTTCTACGAAAATCAGATCCTTCGTCTTCGGCAGATTCCTCCGCAACGTTAAGTTGTTGATGCTGGCCTCGAGGTGGTCGGGTAGGTGCTCCATCAAATGATTAAGTTGCCTGCTTACTCAGTTGCAGGCCGAAATCCTAGCATGACAGATGCTATGTGCGTAGGAAATAGACTTTTATAGACCGTTCAACTGGAACCTGTTCGGTGTCACATGTCCCAGCGGGGGTCGTTTCAGGGACAATAAATGAGTGGGCAAATCTACTAAGTGAACCTTTTTCACCTGTTTGAGTAGAATGATTCATTCGCATGCATCGAACAAAAGCCTATCATCCTTCAGACTTCACATTCTCAGGTCTTCCAGTCACCTATATACTCGGAAGCACTATACTGGAGTTTCGCTCTTACTAGGGCTCATCAGCAGTGCATATCCACTGCCCCGTCTGAGATTTGAACTGCAGACCCATCGCAAGGAAGGCGTGTCACCATTGTGTCAATCAGCTCGTGCCATGTCATGAACGGAATTGCCATTTGGTGTTTGTTGCTGTGTCGTCTTTAGTGATATTCAGTTAGTTCATTTTGGCCCGACAACAAAGACGGACACAGTTGACTACCTGTTAACTCCAATCGAAAGCCTCCCACCAGGTCTTCCATGCAGGTTGCGGGTAAGTGGCCGAAAACCTAATAAGCTGATTCAGTAATTCGTGTTTCACTTTGTTAGTTGTGCGTAATGGTTCAGGATAATTGATTGGAACTGACCGTCCTTCAGACTTTACGTACATTCCTCAGCCAACTAACTATCGGTCTCTGAAGATGACACCTGAAAAAACATGAATTGGTACTTCTCTTCAGCCCTGGTAGGAGCTGGGTAACACACGCTTTCGATAAGATGGATCCATAGTTCAAATCCCGGACGGTACGGTAGATATGCACTACTGATGAGCTCTAATAAGAGCGAAACTCAAGTCTAGTGCTTCCGAGTATGGTTAATTGGAAGAGCTGAGGAATGTGTGTGTAAGTGCTTTCTGAAAGATGGTCAGTTCCAATCAATCAATAGCAGTTATCCCACACCACTATTCACAAATAAATGTGGATTAAATGCGAAACGCTAATCACACGAACACTAAAGAAGCATGGCTGAATTAGAGAAAGCGACGACTGCACAAGTCAATCAAGAACTGGTGGAGTACTGGGTCTTCTCGCTTATACACCTACTGTACCTGATTATTCCGAGCCGGCTCTCCTTCAACCGATTTCACTACATGAAGACTAAAAGATTCCGAAACCGCGTGATTGGAGACAATGAAGTGATGGCTGCGAACCGACAGCAATGGCGAGCTTGCTGTC